ACGAAGTCGCGTAGAAACCACGTGCAGCAACTCCCGCGCACAGACCCACAAAAAAAGTATATAAACCTTACCACGGTGTCCTGTTTCCTCAGAACATACTCGAACAGGATCTGTTTACAGAAACTGACCGAGTCTCGCATTTTTACAAATGCCGCATCTTCATATCCACTCGATGACTTCCGCGCTCACTCGTTATACCGAGAATATGGCTTTGCGCAAGCAGGGCCTCGAGGACGTTTGGTGAGCTCATTGGGCGTGCATTTTAAAGCCGCTTGAGGAACTTGCCAGCGAGTTGAGCGTCTGTCTGATGGATACCTCTCTTGACTACACCTTTGTAAAAGCATTTCTATAGACACAAACGAACGAATTTTCGCTTCATTTCCTTATGCCTCGTGAGCTCGCATTTTGAACCTTCGACCTCGTCGAGAGTGTTTCCAAATTTCAACGTTGGACGTCGGGCACCGATACCTTCGAGCTCACTTTGCTTTCTCTCTTTTCTAGGCCCTCATGGATCTTGTCTTCTTTTCCCTGGAGCTTCGGAGTCCCTCGGAGATTCCTTCAACCTCATCCTAAAGTGATGGGAACGACGTGAGTTCATAAATAAACCTTCAGAATGTGTTTAAACCGTGAAAGTCAAAGGTTGACCGAATATAGGGTAGGTTACAATGACTAGCGGCAATCAGGATCTATGAGCTGTGTAGCGTCAAAGGTGGTCAGTGATTGTGGTCAGCTGAAGCCTGAAGTTGACATATTGCCACTCAAAAATGTAGACCCCCAACTCTGGGCGTCCTAATCGACCGGCGGCCATCAGGATCTAGGAGCGTCGATCTTATCAACCAGCGGCAATCAGGACCTATAAGCGTCAAACCTGTCTACTGAGCGCCCTAATCATCACTCGTGATCACTGATAAGTTGTGCTTTCAAGTGCTGCTTGAATCAAGACCAGTTTGATACGTGTATGGGTTCAAGCTATTCATGGAACTTGGTGAGCTCTGGTGCACTTATTTTCTTT